CAGCCTCAGGGGCTGGTGTGTGCAGTCACTTTAAAGTGCTGCCAGTCTCACTGCAGACAGCTCTCTGCTCTGGTTGGACATGCTTTCTCGGGTGGGCTGAGACAGCTGTGGTCACCATGGTGACAGTTACAAACAATATTACAGTGCATAACTTGTCTTATCTGGCACCAACAGGATTTTTTTTGATCATTGTCATAGCAACTGTCTTGTGTTCTACGACATTAGAGCAGCGGACCTGTCTCAGTGGATTTGTGTGCTCCTGTGTTGTGAGTCCATGTTTCTGCATGTCTGTGTGTCTTACGCTATCCCTGAGCACAGCTCTCCTTCCCATTTCCTGTGTGTGAAGCGGAGAGAAAATCTTTGAACTTGAACTTAATTGTCATTTGTAACCCTATACATGTACTGGTACAATGGACTTCTTACTTACAGAAAGTCTCTCGATTGTTAAGAAAGTGCAGACAGTGCATCAAGACAATATACAAACAAACTGTAGACAAGTAAACAGTTTGAATGTAAACAATGCAGACATGTAAACAATGACTGCATACAGTATGTGCAATAAATAAGAAATCATAATGAAGTAGATGGTGTAGGTGTGGTCCGAGGGGCATGGCCAAGTGTGTTCGCCAGTCGCACTGCTTGTGGGTAAAAGCTATTGAAGAATCTGGTGATAAGTGTGCAAATGCTCTTGTATCTCTTGCCTGAGGGCAGTGGGGTGAAGAGCTCATGCCCGGGGTGGTGACTGTCCTCTGTGATGGCCAGAATTCTGAAGTGGCAGGGTTACTAGCTGAGTGCAGGCCTTCCTGTGCAGCACAGGTGCTTCTGCACTACAGTTACACCTCACAGAGCTGAAGATGTCGTCACCTGTCAGGCTCTGTGTGTCGGACCCCCGACCTCTCCTGCCTGACAGCTAATACAGATAACAGGCATCACCTGCCCCCACGGCCACACGGATCCCCAGCGCCTGGGAGAAAAGCCCCCCACCTTCAGCCCGGCAGGATCACAGTGAGCCGCGCTCCGCAGCCTGGCCAGGTAGCTCCGAGGGGCGCTGCGTCTGCACCTGGCCTTCCTCACAGAGCCCGTCCTGCAGCGCAGGCTGGGGGCAGGCCTGCCCAGACGAAGGGGGGCTGTGTTACTCTTCTCAAGGGAGGGGGGTGTTCCCTCTTCAGTGGCCAGCATTGTCTGTGTCTGATTACAGCAGTCATAAGCAGGCAGATTTCCTCCATATGAAGAACTAACCACATAGATTCTCTATGTTGGCCCACCAGGTAGATACATCTGCTCTGACCCAACTATCCTACTCTCCTCCCCACATGTCCGGATGGCGCCCGGGCTGGGTACCATCTGAGTTGGATGCTGCATCACTGCCATGGATCAAGGAGGGACATCGTGGATATAGCTATCGTTTAGGATGATTTTGCTGGTCTACAGAGAACTGCATGGAGTACTGGCATACAGAAAACATGATGGATGGATGGATTAATACCCTCATTTATTTCTTTTTTTTTTAATTATATAATGTTAGCATGCCCAAAGGGGTTGGGCAGCCAGTTGACCTTGGACCCCTGGAGGTTTTCTTTTCTCCTTACTAAGGAGTTTTTGGTTCCTCTCCTCCGTTGTCTTCTGGTCTTTTCTGTTCTGTGTTCACAACATGTATGGTCACTTGCTTTGTTAAGTGCCGTGGGGCAACCTTGTTGTGAAAGGCGCTATATAAAAATAAATTGAATTGAATAGATAAACCCAATACCTGTCTAATTCTCTCAGGTCGTTAATTTACCTTAGACCACATCCGGAACTTAAGGGTCCATACATCCCCCCACTTTTTTAAGACATGAACTTGCCCACTGACAGCACATCTCTCTGATTGTGGGTCACTGTGCAGCAGGCAGTCTATGTGGGCCCAGAGGACTATGGGAAATCGTGGCTGCCGGGGTCAGCTGGCTGTTGTCATGAGGGCTCTGGGTCATTGCTGACCACATCACCCCCTGTCACTGTCAGCCTTACATGTCCCAGAAATCCTTTCCCACCTGCACATGTTCTGTGTTTTTCTTCTGACTGCTGTGAAGATTTTCTAGAAAATTATTTAATTAATTTTGATGTTCTTTATTTGCTTTCGGCCTGGTACCCTGTGTGCATTTGGACCACACCCTTCTAGCGCTGGATAGGCACGCGCTGTGTGCACTCCTGCTAGCAGGTCTCCAGGGCCTGGGTCCTGTTATTGTGTTTTCAGCTTCCGTAGCTTGAAAGCAAGTAAGATATAAACTGATCGATATGTGGCTTATTGAAGTTCATACTTTCTGCTTAACCTTTATGCACACTGTTCTGTGCGTAATATCCTGTTGGGTTTGTCTGGGCAGATTGCTATCTGACGTTTCTTGCTAA